ACGCGTTGACGCAGTCCAATTTGTCGTCGGAGGTCATTTTGACGAATTCACCGATTTGCGTGCCAATTTTCTCGTGTCGAAAGTATGGCAATATGGGTGTCCGTCCCTACCAAAATGGGTATCCCGGACGCGTTGGCGCAGTCCCATTTGTCGTCGCAGGTCATCCGGAGAAGTTCGCATTTTCACCCGTTCTTTGGGCTTAATTGAAGTCCGATTTCGCGCAATTTCGTGAACTTCGTGTACTTTGTGTGTGTACGTGACGAAAAAGTCGTGACAAATGTTTTCCTAAGGCTTGAAGTCCTATTTAGAACATTTTCCTTGAATCTTCGCAAAATAACCCATAACCGCTCGTTCATAAGACGATGGTCTTGTGCCAAAGATGCTAGACATCAAAGGAAAATAGGAATTGGCTGAAATTTCTAGAAAGGTGAGTCTCAATTCTAGTTTTCTAAGATGGTCCATAGGAATTTCTAGAGCTAGAACCTAGGCTCTAAGGAGGAGAAGAATAGACCTCACAAAAATGAGGTCAACAGAGCATTGATGAGTTCCAAGATGTAAGGTTTAAAAAGACAGAAACTGAAAACTGAGGCTTTTTGCCTTAACGAGACAAAGCTTAAATCTCGAAGGGTAAATTAAAAAAAAAAACAAAAAATTAAGTATAGTCAAAACTGCACTTTAAAAATTGTCAATTGAATTGGAGTCAATTTTGAGACAATCAGTCCAATCTTGTAGAATTCCTAATTTAGTTGGCAGTGGGCACAAACTTAAAAATGGGTTAAACATGATAGCTTTAGCGTCAGAGCATAAATCCGTTTATCATTTTAAATCAATACCTTTGTTTGGTGTTGCCTTATGAATATATTGGAGATAATGTTTTACCCTTGGCCTTGGCCTTTAGAAAGTCACGAAAAAAAACTTGCCAATGACTCTTGATGCTCTGACTCCTGCTTTCAGTCTTGATTTTGGTCTCTTGTGCTCGATTTGAAGACAACCTGACCCCTGATTTGCATAATCCTGCTCCCATTCTACTCTTTAATTTTGCACTAGCATGAAGAATTCTCTCTTTGGTGTTCGTTCCTTGTAATCCTAAAGAATGCATGAGCCTCAAAGTATTTTCGTGCGTTTAAGATCAAAATTTATTTTGTGGCATGTTAGTTGAACAATTTTTAAAATCATGTTGAGGTTCTCACCTCACAATCAGCAACTTGCTAAAACGGTCACGTCGTCGACATTGCTTGCTTTATTACGTTTCAATCCAATGTCTCGAGACATTTTTGGAAGGTTCTAACTGCCACCTATCTCATAAATAGAGTTCTCTCTAAAATTCACAAATTTCGAACCCCCTTAGCCGTCCTCATGTCTTGCTTCCCTTCCAATCAGGGTCTTCTCCACATTAGATCCCAAGGTTTTTTGGCGCACTGCCTTTGTTTGAAACACTGCCTCTATTCGGAGTAAACTTGATCCTAGATTCATAAAGTGCATCTTTCTTGGGCACTCTGCAACTCAAAAAAGGTATCAGTGCTTTGATCCGACCACAAACAAAATTTATATGAGTGATGATGTCTCCTTATTTGAAAATGTTCCCTATTTTTCTAGCTTGATCTCTAGTGAAGGGGAGCTTGAGTTCCTCGACATTGTCCAGTTTCCTACTCTTATGGATGATCCTCCTTTTGTTCCTACCACTGAGGAGTCCCCTGTCACATTGAGTGCATCATCTCTTCCTCCCACTGTCAGTGTCTACACTTGGCACAACTATCCTAATTCTCCTACTCTGGAGCCTGCTACCTCCTTACAGGACCTTGACTCCACTCCAGACGACATCCTCAGGACCACCCCTCCTCTGAATGAGGAGGTGAGTTTTTCGAGTAAGGTTTGCAATCATACATGTTCCCTCTATTATATGACAAAAGATGTCTCTTTCCACCGTTTATTGCTGACCTTCTGACCATTTGCTACTTCCCTGATGAACCATCAGACCCCTGCTAATATTGAGATCCCTCTTGTTGTACCAGCCTAAAAAACAACAGTAATGAAATAGATGAACGCCATTTAGCGGAACTATACGTGGGACGTCGTGGACCTTCCTCAGGCTGGAAATGTTATAGAGTGCTGATAAATTTCAACACCAAGTTTAACGCTGACGGGTTCTTTGAACACAACAAGTCAAGATTGGTCGTCAAATGATACACAGATTTACGGAGTTGACTATGAGGAGACCTTTCCTACAGTGGCTAAGTTGAACACTATTTGATTTCTGTTGTCACTTATAGTAAATCTGGATTGACCAGTATTCTAACTAGCTGTCAAGAATGCATTCTTGAACGGAGAGCTGACAGAAGAGTTGTACATGTCTCTCCCTTCAGGGTTTAATTCTAATGCCTCTAGAGGATGGGTGTGCAGGCTACGAAAGTCCCTTTATGGGCTAAAACAGTCCCCAAGTGGTTGGTTCGACAAGTTCACAAAGTTTGTCTTGGGCCATGGCTTTACTCATGCTCAATCAGATTTCACCCTCTTCTTCCGACATTTCTCCAGCGGTCAGATAGCTTTCTTATTGTTTATGTTGACGATATTATTCTTTCAAGTAACAATCTCCCAACATTGGAGTCCTTAAAAAACATTCTTTCTTCATCTTTCGAGATAAAGAACTTGGGATCTCTACTTTACTTCTTAGGCGTGGAAATGACTCGGTCCTCTTGGGGAATTTGTTTGTTTCAGTGCAAATATGTGATTGATCTCTTACCAGAGAACAACCTTCTTTTATGCAAAGCTGTTATTGTTCCCATGGATCCTAATAAATAATTATCTGACATTCTTAATGTTGTGTCTGTTAACACGACTCATTATCAACCTATTATGGAAAAACTCGTCTACCTTGCTCATACTCGCCCCAACATATGTCACGCTATTAGAATAGTTAGTCAATTCATGCATGACCCCTACAAGCACCTCCTCCAAACTGTTCACTGGATTCTCCACTACTTAAAAGGTATATCAGACTGAGATTTGTTTTTCTCTCGTCACACCACTGTCTATTGTTGTGTATGCAGTTGCCTATTGGGCTGAATCAGTTCATGATCGTCGTTCCACTTCTGGTTATTGTTCATTTGTATGAGACAATCTTGTCACGTGGATTAGCGATAAACAACCTTTGGTTGCCCAAAGTAGTGCTGCAACTGAATTCAGATTCATATCCTTAGGAATTTATGAAGCTCTTTGACTGCACATTATGCTCTGCGAACTCCGTATGCCAACATCCGTCCCACTGCAACTATTCTGTGATAATAAGACCGCAATCAACATTCTTCATAACCCTGTCCAACATGATCAGACCAAATATGTGGAGATCGACAAACACTTCATTAAAGAAAAGATTAAGTCTGGGGAGATTTATGTTCCATATGTGCCCTCCAGTAGTTAATTAGCAGACATTCTCACCAAAAATCTGTCTCGCCCTTTGTTCGATGACTTTAAGTCCAAGTTGAACATGACTCTATGCTTCAACATGTGGGGGAGTATTGGATTATAAGTCGTTATTACTTATTATTTGTTTTTGTTTTCTATTTATGAATTTCCTATTTTGTTTTATTCTATTTTATTTTTTTTCTAGCTATTTTATTCCGTCTTTGTTTCTTTCTTTTGTTATGCCTATTATAGTTGGGTTTAAATACCCCTCATATCAATAAAATTGCGTTGCTCTATTCCAATTATGAACAGGGTCGAAAAAGTATTTTGGAGTATATTTGCTGTGAGAGAAAAGGATTATTTAAAATGCATCCATTTAATTCCTATGTATTTACATATCTAACGCTAAATTTCAATTTATACATTCATGCATGAAAACATGTATTTCAAATTTTTTTTTTTAAAGTAAAAAAATGTTATTTTTGATGTGATATGAAAGATTTGAGTGTCATAAATGTAAAAAGTATAGTTTAGGTGCGAGATATGTATATACATAAAAATTAGGTGGTATGCAAATGACCCTAAAAAAAAAAGGCAGGCATTTATAGGCATACCACATAATGCTCCATGTATTTACTTATTTAATGCCAGAAATTTAATATTTACATCCTTAGCACTCAAATTTTGAATACCACATAAAAAATCTCAATATCATTTACTTTTAAAAAGTGAAGTACATATTTTCATGCATTGGTCGATCACACCAAAATGTTATAAATAAATAGCTACACACACACATACATACCTACATAAATATATATATACATATATCTACATATCTATATATCTATGTCTATATGTATGTATATTATATCTATTTTATAACACCAAAGTGCTATATATATATATATGAAAGTTTAGGTGTTAGAGATGTATATACATAAAGAATTGTGTGGTTGGTATGTAAATAAGAGAAGGCATATTTGCACAACTAAGCCTATTATGAAAGTTATACAGTCAAATTTCCCAAACGTTTTCACACATATTTATTAATAATTTTCATTATTCTGAGAAGGCTATATAAGCCAACTGCACTTATATTTGTTATTGCTGAAAGTTTAGGTGTTAGGTATGCTACGACGGTTATACAGTCAAATTTCACAAACCTTTTTCTCACATATTATTTATAATTTATATTATTCTGAGAAATAAGCCAAGTGCACTGCACGTCTATTTGTTAATTTACGAAGTTGGATTACTTTAAAATGTGTGCAGGAGGCCGGTGCAATTGTGAGAACTGGCGACAGTTCCCTTGCAAAACGGCTTGAGAAGGAGGGCTACCGAGCAATCTCTGCTGCATAATTAAGAAGTGAGCTTGGTAAGGCTGTACATCCTGTATAACTCCTGTAGTATTGCAGAATTTTGCTTATCACTGACTAATTTCAATAAATTAGCAGCAATTCTATTTGATTTTTCTGTTTGTTTATTTAAAAGAAGCATAAATTCTTCTTCTGAGAAAAGAAATTGGGATTAAATTGTACAAATTCTGATTATCAATAACACATTGAAACATTCAAAATTGTGTTGAGGCACTAATTGGAAGTTTCAATGGATTAAAATACATTGATCGAGTTCAGATAAATATTATATATATAATCATTATCAAACCCGCTTATGAGAAATAGGAGACCTGCTTTATTGGGAGCACAAACAAATTATTCACCAATTTGCACTGACTGCCCGCGACGAGCAAATCGGGGTGTTCTCGGGTTCGCGGACCTGTGTTATTCTGGAAAAGCAAATCGGGGTGTTCTCGGGCTCGCGGACCCGTTTTATTCTGGAAAATCAGAGTTTACAAGAGGGGGAGCCAAAGAAGACCTTTTACATGAAAAGTGACATCCTATTTATAGATGATAGTAGGACCAAAAAGTAAATTACAATATTATCCTTGTTTAAAAATGGTAATGCGTGATAATTTAATCTTTTGTGTTGGTGTATTATATTGGATAACTCACCAACCGCTGGATCAGTCATTTTAGGGTTTTTCTGTCGAGGAGAGTCTTCAGGTTCCAATGGCTAGTCGAAGGAAAAAGTCCTCCTTCCAGGGGAATGGTTCTCTGTTTGAGGGAATAGTTCTTCGAGTGGGGGAAGAGTCCTCCGTTGGAGTAAAAAGTCCTCCGTCAAGGGAAAAGTCCTCCGTTTAGAGGAAAAGTACTTCGTTAGGGGAAAAGCCCTCCGCTTGTGGAAAAAGTCGGTGGAGGGTAGTTAATTCGACGGGAGTAGACTGTAGATTGCCTCAAGCCGTGTAAATCATTCTTGTGTATACATGTTAAGTTTCTTAATTTTCATGCTCTTTGATAGCGACATATGCAATCAGGAAAATAAAATTTGTAAATCAAACAAATCTTGAACAAATAATTTGCTATCGATACTCCATGCTAGGTGCTTTTTGTGCTCGATTCTGGTAGCTTTATTGTTATTTACTGATTTGTCATTTTTGAGTTTTTTCTATCTAGGGAGTCGTCAGACTCCGGTGGCGGATCGGAGAAAAAGGTCGACCGTCAGAGTTCTTTGTTCATTTGCCTGACTTGAGGAAGAGTTCTAGAATTGCCATCTCTGGAGGGGAGTCCTAGCGCCATTTGCCTCGGAGTGGATTTCTGGAGCTGTTTGCCCTGGGGTGGAGTTCTAGAGCGTTGCACCCCTCGCTGAGCTTGCTACTGCCGGGTGTAATATTTTCTTTTGCACCTCTTGCGGAGCTTGTCGTTGTTGGCTGTTTAATTTTTTTTGTACGTCTCCAGAGCTTGTTCTTGCTGGGTGTAAGATTTTTTTTTTGTTGCACCCATCTCAGAGCTTGTCGCTTTTTGTCACCCTTCGTGAAGCTTGTTGCTGCCGGGTGTTTGATTATTTTTTTGCACCCCTAGCGAAGATTGTCGCTGTTGGGTGTTAGATTTTTTTGCACCCCTCGTGGAACTTGTCGCTGTTGTATGTTAGAATTTTTTTTTTTTTGCAACCCTAGCGGAGCTTGCCGAGTGGGGAATCGTCTCTGAGCGTTCATCCAATATGAGCTACAAGACTTGAACTCATTGTAAGGAAAGTGTCATGATTAGCCCCTTGGGGTCCCAATCAGACGTCTATGACATCATTGTCGGTTATACTTCTTGGGCTCAAGTTCCCTAAGTGTTGAGTAGCCACGACATTTATGAAACTCTTGAGTTTTGACTTGACTTCTCACATATAAATAAAACATAATGTAGTTGATGGTGAGAGGTAGGGGTATATTTCAAAGTATTTATATATATATATATATATATATATATATTGTAAATCTTCTATTCTTTAGGTGGCCGGCCAGAGCATTGAGGTGGTCGGCCGGAGCAACCGGCGCAATGGTCGGTTGGAGGATGACCTGCTGCTAGAGGTATACAAAAGAATTGAGCGGTATGCATGTGAACATATAGGACATATAGATATATGAGCTGATTGGCATGTATGGAAATATAAAAATACATAAAAATTGTGTTATGTATTGCATCCGTTCGGTTCTTCCAATGGATCGTGTTGGCTCCAACCCACCCAGATTTTGTTGTTCTCTGTCGCCGTTTTTCCGAAAAGCAAGGGAACTAAAGATTCTTGTCCCAGTGTACCCTTCTTTCTTATTTTCTTTGATTTCCATTTCCTCATCTTGCATTAATTTACTTCTCTGTTTAAGAGGCACAAATACACATGCTTCTTCCCTAAAAACTAACCCATTCTAGCTTCCCATCGGCCGCATTTGTGAAGGGTGACACCCCTGTAATTATAAATTCTTCTTGGGAATCAGGTGCTCTCCTGCAGTGGGCCATAGTGCCCTGGATTCCTTCTTGTTGCAGAAGCGAGTGGTGGTGGTTAGGCGTCACCATCGGCGGCGAGCACACACGTATGGCTCGGCTTTCCCTTTAGACTGTATATTTCCCGTCGACCATTGCTTCCACTTGTTTTGTTTGTTTGCAACAGCAGGTTGGACAGCAGATCCATCCTTTGTTCAAGCCGGGTGGCCCTGGCATGAATGATGTCCTCAAGGCGGCCTTTGTTGAATCTCCCAAGCAATCGAGGACCCTATCCATGCCGTGATATGAACTCAAATGTCCGGATCTCATCCACCCGATCGAAGAACACATACACCCCTTCCCCATAAATCCTAACCAAAACCTTTCTCCCCCATTCCCCTTCACTTTTCCTTTCCGCTAACCAATTAATCTCAAGTCAACGTCCCTGGTACATCTCCAACAAATCTCCATCACCAAAACGAATCTTGAGGCGTGTTATAGTTTTGGAGGTGATTTTTTGAGCAAAAAATATTCAATCCTCTTTAAAAACTCATCCATAACTCGATTTCAACAAACTTACAATCAAACTAACCGGCTCGACAAGAACCCAATGTTACCAAATTTAGTCCAATCCGAGTCAAATCAAGTCATTAAACCACTCTTAAAAATTTTCAGGACATATTTAGAAGGTTAAAAGAATGTCGAATCTAGCAAGCCTATAATCAAATCGAGCTTCTTCACAAGACGAATCCAACGAGCTCAGGATTGCTCAATTCTGACATTGTTCAGGCACTCAAATGTCTATCAAACGTCGTCTACTCGAAGCCCTCTGGACCATCCAATCAAAGTGATTCATATTCCTGCATTCATTGAATCCATAACACTATAAATAGAGCCCCACCCATCGTGCACTTCCGTCGATAACTTAAAACTTTGAGAAGGAATTGAAGTACAATACCACTTCTTTCTTCTTCGATTGTCGCCGGCTGCCGTCAACCAATGTCGACAGCGGTCGACCAACGCGAACCGCCGTGGACCAACTCAGACCGTCGTCGACACCGGCCACTTCCGTCGATCACCACTAATCATCGTTGACTACCACCGACCGAAAGCCATCAATCGACATTGTAACTTGAAAAACTTAGTAACTTTTTCCCGTCTGTGAGACGAGGGGTTTCTGTAATCATTAATATATACTGGATTTTTACATTTGGGTCAGGTTCCATAGTTTTTTCTCTTTACGAGTTTTCCACATAAAAACCTCTAATGTCATTACTATTTGTTTTCTTTTTCCTGAGTGTGTTGAATTCTCCTGCAACGCTAAGACAATAATTCATACTATACCGCTGCAAATTTCCTAGCACGCATTCATACCCTACCTCCATCACCCTCGAATCCGTCACATCACTCCATTCCGAGGCTAGAGAGTTCAAGATCTTCCAGGCTTCTTTAAAAATTCGATCCAACACTTTTGTTGCCTTATCGTGGGTCTGATCCGATGAAATCACATATTGATGGTATGAGAAAATATGGTATTATCTAGCTTTAATTCCGACGTGGTTGAACGAAGATGATGAAGACAGAGTGCTTCAAGAATCTGATGAGAAGGAAACACAGATGTTTATCGTTTCCAGAGAGAAACAAAGTAGAGTTCTCTTAGTGAGAGAGGGAGAGAGAGATTCCATCGTCTTCTTCTAAATTTTCAGCGGTGATTAAAATGGTGTTCGGGCGATAGTCGGCTAGACAACCGGTCAGCCGGTTGGCTGGTGAAGATAACTGAGGTACGGTTGGCTTTAGTGGATTTTTGCATCTGGGTCAGGATCCATAGTTTTTTTTTTACGGGTTTTCCACGTAAAAACTTCTAATGTCATTACTGGTTGTTTTTTTTCCTGAGTGTGTTGAATTCTCCTGCAACGTTAAGACAATAATTCATACTCTACGGCCGCAAATTTTCTAGCACGCATTTATACTTTACCTCCATCACCCTCGAATCCATCACATCACTCCATTCCAAGGCTAGAGAGTTCATGACTTCTAGGCTTCTTTAAAAATCCGATCCAACACTTCTATCGCCTTATCGTGGGTCCGATCCGATGAAATCACATATTGATGGTATGAGAAAATATGGTATTGTCTAGCTTTAATTCCGACGTGGTTGAACGGAGATGATGAAGACAGAGTGCTTCAGAAAATCCGATGAGAAGGAAACACAGATGTTTATCAGATTTCTTATTGCTGACATGATTCACGCTCACCACACTTTTTAGTATGTCCCCCCTCCCCATCCCCATCCCCATCCCCATCCCCAAAAATGGCTCGTGGACCCATGTTATTCCATAGAAATATAGGTTATAAGTGGGGGGAGCCAAAAAAAGCCAATTTACATGAAAATTTTCATCTTATTTATAGATGATATGAGGGCCAATAAGTACATTACAATATTACCCTTACTTAAAAAGTGCAGTACAAGATATTTTAATCTTGTGTTGGTATATTCTACAGGATACCTCATCAACTGTTGGATCTGTCATTTTAGGGTTTTTTTGTCGAAGGGAGTCGTTAGGTTCCGGTGGTTGGTCGGAGGTCCAGGGGAACAATTCTCCTCCTTGGGGAAGAGTCCTACTTCAGAGGAAAAAAGTCCATCGTCAGGGGGGAAAAGTCCTCCGTAATGTGGAAAGACCCTCCTTATGGGGAAAAGTGCTATGTCTAGAGGACAGGTCGGTCTTCGGGGA